TGCGATGCTGGTGATGGTGATGGTGGCGGCGATGGTGGTAGTGATGGTTTGGGTGGGAGTGATGGTGGTGTCGAAAATGGTAGTGTTACTGATGATGGTAGTGGCTGTGATGGTAAACTCTGGCGGCGGTTGGTGACGACGATAAGGATGCTGGTGATGATGATGGCGTCGGTGATGGTGGTGGCGGTGGTGACGATGCTGGTAGTGATGATGGTTGTGATTGTGGTGCTGATGAAAATGTCGATGGTGATGCTGATGGCGATGATGACGTGGTCGGGGTGAATCTGGTGAACAGTTGTGGTGGTGGCGGCGACAATGAAACCGATGGTGATAATTATGATGTTGCTGGGAATGATGATGGAGGTGGTGATGGTGGTGGTGGTGGCAGTAAGGGTGGCCATGGTGGTGATGATGGTGGTGATGAGTATGATGGTACTGGCGACGATGACGATGGTGGTGATGGTGGCGGGCTCTGATGGTGGCGACTGGTGACAATGACGACGATGCTGATGATGGTAACGATAGTGGTGGTGGTGGCGATGTTTGTGGTGGTATTGCGGGCGACGCTGGTGGTGGTAGTGATGCACGTGATGACCACGTGTGTATAAAGGCTGGAGGCGATGATGGTGCTGACGATGGTGGTGTTGGTGGTGATGGTAGCTGTGGTGGTGCCACAGGTTATGGTGGCGATGATGGTGGTGGTGGTTATGGCACTGATTGCAATGCTGGTTGCGATGGTGATGGTGGTGGGGGTGAAGACACTGATGGTGGAGGTTTGTGGCGATGGCGATGCTCCGTATGGCGATGATGGTGGTTGTGGTCATGATGATGCTGGTGGTTGTGATGGTGGCGATTGTGGTGTCGTGGAAATTGATTGTGGACGTTATGATGGTGATGCGGATGGCGATGATGCTGGTGATGGTGATGCTAGTGTACACGGATGATGGCGATTGGTCACGGCGACGATGTTTGTGGGCACGATCCCGGCGTTGTTGGTGGTGATCATGGTGGTGATGGTGGTTGTGGTCATGGTGGCGATGATCGTACGAATGACGCGGATGACGATGGTGGTTGTGCTAATTGTGATGATGGTGGGGATGGCGACAGCGATGATGATTATAATGATGATGATGTTGGTTGTGGTGATGGTTGTGATGGTGGTGGTGGTGATTGATTTTGGGTTTATGATGGTGATCATAGAGGTGACCATGGTGGTGATGTTGAGGGCGATGATGATGTTGGTGATTGTGGTGATGGTGGTCGTTGTGATTATCCTGGTGCTAGTTGTGTTGTTGGTTGTCGAGGTGGCGGTAATCGTGTTGCTGGTGATGACGCTGAATCTCAGTGAAGACGACTGGTGACGGCCATGATGACGATTACGGTGCTGATGGTGGTGGTGTTGGTTGTGGTGATGGTGGTGATGGTGGTGATGATGGTCATGATGTTGAGAATGAGTGCTGGTGACGGTTGATGACGGCGAGGATTGAGATGACAATGATGGTGGTAGCGACGGTGGTGGAGTTAGTGGTGGTAAGTGTGGCGATGTTGTTGGCGACGATTACGGTTGTGATGCTGATGGCCATGATGATGGCAGTGCTGATGATGATGAGCCCTGATGGTGGACGACGATGGCCATGAAGGTGGTGATGATGGTGGTTATCGTGGTGTCTATGGTGATGGTGGTGATGGTGGTTATGATGAGGTTGACGTTGCTGCCGGTGACAATGATGGTGGTGGTGGTGATCCTCCTGAACACGGGCGCTGACGATCCATGATGACGACGACAGCCATGATGGCTATTGCTGGATGGTTGAAGATTTATGGTGGTGGTGGTGATAAGAATATTGCCAGGGAAGGTGGTGGTGGTGTCATGACGGTTTTGAGCATACTGGCGCTGATGACTGCAATGATGATGAGCACTGGTGCTGACGATTGATGACGGAGACCACGATGACGATGGCGACGGCGACTATGATGATCGTTGTTCCCCACCCGACAGCTTGGGGTCGTTAGCCTGTAAGAACAGACCTCCCCACCGACGAATCTTGCATACCGCTGCAGCCAGATCCGTAGGTCCACCGAGTGTCCCCCGAGTGCCGCCACCCGCGCCTTCGATGAGCATGACATAACTTAACTGAACAGCCCACGCATTTTCTTCTGGTGGAGGGCAAAGGGTGAAATCTGAAATGCCGTTTCGATTGATCTTCGAGATCTGAATCTGCACAAGGTGAATGACAGAACGGATTGGCTTTCGAGGTGCAAGAGCCCATCTGGATGTCGCCCTGGGCCCCCCACCCTGAGAGAGCGCCCAGGCAGGGCAAGACAGAACATGGCACGCCAGGACATGACCGAACATAGCATTCCATAACAGAGCAGGACATAACGGAGAATGGCATAGCAACACATCAGACTTGTTTCCGAGGGCACCAACTATACACCAACACCGATCCTGGCCCAGGATCACCCTGGGCCCAGGATCGGTGTATATGCCTTCTTGCGCAAGGCAGGAGGGCGTACACACCGATATGAATCGGTGGGTGCCTTCCTAGACTTGTTCCCACTTCAGAACACGTCGGCGCTGGCGGCGGCGGCGGCTTCCCTGCCGGCGGGTGCCCGACGCCCGAGTCCGACCTCGGGGTCGGCTCGGAAAGATCATGAATGATCGGCTGGAGCGGGGGGTGCAGCTGCCGGGGTAGGGGTAGCGCAGCATTCCGAAATGCGAGCATGACAGCTCGAAGGAGGAGGAGGAGGAGGAGGAGAAGGAGGAGAGGGGAAGGAGGAGGAGGAGGAAGAGGAGGAGGAGGAGGAGGAGGAGGAGGAGGAGAGGGGAAGGAGGAGGAGGAGGAGGAAGAGGAGGAGGAGGAGGAGGAGGAGGGAAGGGGAGGGAAAGGACGGAGGGAGGAGGAAGGATAGAGGTGGGCGGCAGGGAAGGGAGTAGGAGGAGGAGGACAGGCGCCGAAGGTTTGGGTGGGGATCGCTCGATGCAAAATGATTTGATGAATGATGGCGACGGTGGTGGTGACGGTGATGGTGATGGCGGTGACAGTGATGATGGTCGTGGCGATGATGACGATGACCATGCTGGCGATGTTCATACGCATGGATGATAACGACATAAGGCGACCTGACAAAAAATGATGATAACCTTGAGTAATGAGCACCGACGGCTGTTCTTTGATGCTTGGTGGATGATGACAACGGCAGTAATTGGGGTGATGACCATGGCAGCTGTGATGATTGGTGATTAACCTTTGGTGGTGATTATGGCAGGCGATGGTGATACTGATGTGAAGAAGGAGAAGAAGATCCCGTCATGGTGAAGAAGAAGATGTGATGTGGTGATGGTGATAATGATGTGAAGAAGACGTGATGTGGTAATGGTGATGATGACAGGCGATGGTGACAATGATGGCGATATAAAGAAGAATCAAGGCCGTTTTGATGTTTCATTATGTGGGGCTTCTCCCGTTCTCGGAGGCGCACGAGGACCGTCGAGGACCTCCAGAGACTTTTTTGGAGTCTTCTGGGGCCCTGTAGAGAATGCCTCTCGAAGTTTCCAGGAGGTCTGCGAAGGTTTTGTTAACCCCTCAGGCCCTGGAGCGTCGATGATTGTCGAGTCAGCGGCGGTACCAGCGAAACAAAACTATGAGGCATCAGCGAGGACGAGGAGGAAGAGGAAGAGGAGGAGCAAGAGGACGACGAGGACCAGGAGGAGGAGGAGGAGAACGACGACGACCAGGAGGAGGATGAGCTTTTATAAAAGCTGTTATCCATTTTGGCTCCTCTGGGAGCCTCCGGGAAGCTCTGGGGCTCCCTTGAGGTCTTCGAAAATTCTTCTGGCACCTCCCCCCAGAGACCTCTGGAGACTCCTGGAGTCCTCCATCGAGCTCTGGAGGCCTCCAGGGAACTCCAGGGATCTCCAGAGACCCCTGGATGTATCCACAGACCTCGGGGGACCTCCTTCCCTCGAGGTATCTCCGAAGTCTTCGCTGTTATTCTGGAGGTCCCCGGGCTTCAACGCGGCCGCGCCTCGTCGCGAGACCTCCAGGAGGGAGCCCAGGGATCGCCCCGCACGGCGGCCCGTGGACCAAGAGGCTCGGACTGGTGCTGTCTCCCAGGGCTCCAGCGAGCCTGTAGATGTCTCGTCCTCCCTCTTCCTGCCCTTAGTCGCAGCTCAGGATGAGAGGTGATGAGAAGGAAATGCCTATTCCTCCCTCTTCCTGCCCTTCAAGCTCAGGCGATCGCAAACATGAATCAAGGGGGGCGTGGATCAGCGACGGGTCCCGCTTCCATTTGGAATCGCGGATTTCCGCCGCCGAGCGAGGCGGCATTGGCCGCATTTTGGGGAGGGGACATCCCCCCGATCCATGGATTTGGCGACCGCGCGGCAAACCCATGGATCGCTAATCCATGTCTGCGCGCCCCCGAAAAGCACAGCTTAGGATGAGAAGTGATGAGAAGTTGGCACCAGGGAAAGCCCTGGGGCCCGGGACCCGTTTCCTTCAGGACCCCCCTCCTGTCATGCCAAGGAGCCACGTGTTCAAGATGGAGTTGGAAGCTCCAGTCGTGATTTTCACGACTCTTTTTCACGACGTTGGATCCCGGAGTTCTCACGAGAGGGCCGCGTGGCATTACGTCCGCCCCTCCCCCCTGGCGACCTCTCTGGGAAAATCCGCTTGATTGTTTGTGCCCACCAACCCTACAGCCGGCGCGCCTCGCAGGGAAACATGTTTTCGTTTGTTCTACCACCCGCCCTCACGCCCCCTTCTGAGTTCTCCGCTTCGCCTGCCTCCTCTCCCCCCTCTTCCACCTCCCGCGTCCTCCCTGCTCCCTCCTCCCTCACATCGCATCCTCCCCCTCACTTTTGTACTGCTCCCTCCTCTTCCTCCTTCCTTCCCTCCTCCCTCCCTCCCTCCTCCCTCCCTCCTCCCTCCCTTTTCCCTCCCTCCATCCTCACATCTCGTCCTCCCTCCTTCCCCCCTCATCCTTCCTGCTCTCAGGTGCTGGAGAGATCCAAGGGGTGGGACTACTCGAGCAAGCTGACTGCCGTCAACAAGATGAAAGAGGTGTACGACCAGTTCAAGCCCAGCGATGAGATAAATTCAGCCTTTGATAAGAAGCTTGTCCTGAACAGAGTCCCGAGCCACCTGAAGAGAAAATTTGCTCGTGACAAGCAGTACGTGAAGACGTTCTCTAAGAATTTCCTCAAACTCAAGTCTTGGCTCCGGTACCGACCGAGCCTCACTGCCAGGGAGCCGCTGAAGATCTCAGAGGCAAAGCTGAAATCTACGCAGTTGCGGAAGTGAGCACTCCTGCTTGTTTCCCGAGTTTCCCGCGGGGGCCTGCAAGCAGCGGCACCCCGAGCAAGGCTTTCGGAGCTGGTTGACAAAACGGCCTCCCCTTCCTCTTCCCCTCCTCGCTCCTTCTCCTCCCCCCTCCTTTCCACCTTGGGGATGAGGGCCCATGGCAACGTGATCCGAGTTCGCTATCCTGCGTCCGAGGGCGAACCCTGGACGAGCCTCCCTTCGAGAAGGAGGGAGCAGGACGATGGAGCTGGAGCTGGGTGGAGGAGGTACGCAGGGGGGAAAGGAGTAGAAGAGGGAGGGTGAGGAGGAGAAGGAGGATGAAGGGGAAAGGAGGAGCGAAGGGAGGAGAAAGGAGGGATGAGAGGAAAACGAGATCAAAGCGGGGGAGGGCGAGCGGGAGAGAGGAGGAGGAAGAGGAGGAGGAGGAGGAGGAAGAGGAGGAGGAGGAGGAGGAGGAGGAGAAGAAGAAGAAGCAGGATGAAGAGAAGGAGGAGTTAGGAGGAGGAGGAGCAGGAGGAGGAGCAGGAGGAGGAGCAGGAGGAGGAGCAGGAGGAGGAGGAGGAAGAGGAGGGGTGGCAGGAGGATCAGCAGGAGCTGGAAGAGGTCCCACCACTGACGGGTGCTGTGCAAGACGGATATACCAGTCGGACGGAGCGTGCGGTGGCGGGATCGCCGTGCACACAGCATGCTGCAAAGCCACGCCGGCCAGTGGGCCCTCAAGAAGACTTTGGTCGGTGGCATGGACGCGGTGCAGAAGAGAATGGTCAGCAGGATCATGGCCCTGCCCAGGCGCGAGGGTGAAGAGACCTCGCGATGGCGCTCCCGGGGGGCACACGCGGGGCAACCTCAGCCTCACATTGGGGAGCGTTGAGGCGACATGCCAGTGAAGGGCGCCATCAACTGGAACCGCCACCTCGAGTGGCACGGCGGCCTCCCCGCCGCCGAGGCGCTTCGCGGCCGGGGCCCCGAGTGGCTCACTGACCGCCGGGCGCGTTTCGGCTTGGGCCCACACGCGGCCGCGCTCCACGGGAGGGGCCGCAGAGCGGCGGAGCGGGAGGTGGTGGGCACGGGCTGCCGCATCTCTGGAGCGGTGGCGAGCTGCGGCGGCCGAAGCAGCCACAGTCCGAGGCCGTTTGTAAGCCTTTCTGGTTTTGTCTCTCCTCCGTTCCTCCCCTCGCCTCGCCCTTCATCGCCCCGATGTCTTTGTGGAGCAGTGTTGGGGGATGCCAGCCCGTCGGTTTTGAATTCCGTGGAGGGGGACGCTGGCAGTACATGCGTGTCCCCACAGGCTTCATCACCAAGTGGTCGTTGGAGCGTAGCTCAGTGAAGTGAATTTTGAGTAGTATGTTGGTGACGGCTTTGTTATCTTAGGTAAGACGGCATATTGTTTAGCCGCGAGGGAGCGAGAGAGAGAGAGAGAGAGAAAAAAAAAAAAACACAGAGATATACATATATATATAGAGAGAGACACAAAGAGAGATAGAGAAGAGGAGATGGGTGAGGGGGCAGACGCAGGGTGCTGGAGGAGCAGAAGGAGGAGCCGAAGGAAGAGGAGGAAGAGGAGGAGGAGGAGGAGGAGGAGGAGGAACGGGAGAAGGGGAAGGACGACAACGACGACAACGACGACGACGACGAAGGCGTATAGCACGTCGAAGGGAGGGAGGTGGGCCCTCCTCCTCCGCCTCCTCCTCCACAACAACACATTGTGAATACTCCCCCCCCTCTTCCCTGATTCTGTCCGGGAGATCTTCAACCCTCTCCGCGACCCACGAGATCCAAATGTTTGTGCTTCGTATATGCTGTGCAATATGACTGGTTATATTGTTTCTAATTGGCATTCCCGCTGCAGCGTGGGCTTCAGTTTCGGATTGCCTCTTTGCTCCCGTCGTTCAGAATGGCGCGCTCGTCCAAGCGCGTGCCACTGTTTCGGATCCGAGTAATTTGTCATAGTTGTCGCCCCCCTCGTCTCCCCTCCTACACCCTCTCCTGGTCCTCCCGCTCCTCCTGCTAGTTCAGTTTCTTCTACTGCTACTGTCCTTGTCCCCCTTCTTGCACATCATCCTTTTCCTCTTGCTCCTCCGCCACGTTCACTTCTAATATGCGCCGTTCTTTTCCAATATTGCGCATAACACGATGCGGCCCGCTTTGGAGTTCCAGCCAGATCCGCTATGACACGCGTCAGCGGATGTTGATAAAACGCAGTGCACTTGTAAGGGATGGGTGGGAGGGGTAGGATGTCAGACATAGGGCGAGCGCACCTAGCTTGTCCTCCTTTTACGGCTTTTACCCCGCTTGGGGGAGGGGAGGCCTTGGAAGGTCAGCCCCTCACCGTAGCTTGTCCTCCTCCTCCTCCTCCTCCTCCTCCTCCTCCTCCTCCTCCTCCTCCTCCTCCTCCCTCCTCGCTCAAGCTCCCCCGCCCCCCGTCCCTCTCCCACCAGTCCCCCTTAGTTTGGATCGAGTTCGTGCGAAGCATCGTCGATGGGGGCCGGAGGCGGAGGCGAGAGACGCAGCGCACAGCGGGGGGGAGAAAAGCACACTTTTTTCCTCCCGCGGCGAGGTGACGGCACCGTCACGAAACGCTGAGCTGGGACTCACTTGGGCGAGTAACCGCCAGGCGTTGTATGTGGAGGAGGAGGAGGAGGAGGAGGAGGAACGAGGAGGAGGAGGAGGAGGAACGAGGAGGAGAAGGATGAAGAGGAGGAGGAGGAGGAGGAGGAGGGAGGACCGGGGAGGAGGAGGAGGACCAGGGATGAGGAGGAGGAGGAGGAAAAGGAGGAACAGGAGGAGGAGGAGGAGGAGGAGGAGGAGGAGGAGGAGGAAGGAGGACGAGGAGGAGGAGGAGGAGGAGGAGGATAAGAGGAGGAGGAGGAGGAGGAGGAGGAGGAGGAGGAGGAAGGACCGGCGAGGAGGAAGACCAGGGATGAGGAGGAGGAGGAGGAGGAGGAGGAGGAGGAGGAGGAAAAGGAGGAACAGGAGGAGGAGGAGGAGGATGAGACCAAGTAGGAAGAGGAGGAGGACCAGGGACGAGGAGGAGGAGGAAGAGGAGGAGGAGGAGGAGGAGACGACGCAAGAGGAGGGAGGAGGAGGAGGAGGAGGATGAAGAGGAGGAGGAGGAGGAGGAGGAGGAGGAGGAGGAGGGGAGGAGAAGGGGAGGAGGAGGAGGAGGAAGAGCAGGAGGAGGAGGAGGAGGAGGAGGAGAAGGAGCTGGAGCAGGAGGAGGAGGAGGAGGAGGAGGAGGAGGAGGAGGAGGAGGAGGAGGAGGGGAGGAGGAGGAGGAGGAGGAGGAGGAGGAGGAGGAGGAGGAGGAGGAGGAGGAGGAGGAGGAGGAGGAGGGGAGGAAGAGGAGGAAGAGGAGGAGGAGGAGGAAGAGGAGGAGGAGAAGGGGAGGAGGAGGAGGAAGAGCAGGAGGAGGAGGAGGAGGAGGAGGAGAGGAGGAGCTGGAGCAGGAGGAGGAGGAGGAGGAGGGGAGGAGGAGGAGGAGGAGGAGGAGCTGGAGCAGGAGGAGGAGGAGGAGGAGGAGGAGGAGGAGGAGGAGGAGGGGAGGAGGAGACGCACGCACGCACGCACGCACGCACGCACGCACGCACGCACGCACGCACGCACGCACGCACACACGGCACGCACACACGCACAGGCACACGCACACGCACACGCACGCACGCACGCACGCACGCACGCATGCACGCACGCACGCACGCATGCACGCACGCACGCGCACACACACAGACACACACACACACAAACACGAGCCCACGCTCATCGCCCTTCCTGTCTCCGTCGGCATGCAGTCGGGCCACGCCGCAGCACCTGCGGCCAGCAGGCCGCGCGACGGGCCTGGCCAGTTTGTGAAAGCACGCCGAGCTTTGGCCCGCCCTCACGCGGGGACGACGGCCGCCCGAGCCTCCCCCCGACTCCTCCTCGCCATCCTCACTGCCCACCCCCTCCCCCTCCACAGCCGCTCTGGCCCGGGCGCACCGGCTCATGCGCGCCCGCGCGCACCCCCGGGTCTGGTCCTGGTCCCGGGTGCGCCGCCGGTGCGCTCCTGCGCCATGGGCAGCAAGGATGGCTTCACGACGATGAAGTCCCATCTGCAGGCCCTGCAGGACGAGGACCCCGAGGCCATCTTCATTGCGCGCAGGACCAGCAAGGCTCCGGGTTGCGCGCGGGCATGCCGGCGTGCCCCTGATGGCGGTCGGGGCTTTTGGACAGGCCTCCCTGGTAGTCCAGGGTGGCCTCAGGACCCAGCACTGGCCCCAGCTGCGCGCCCCGGGTCGCTCCGCGCCCTGGATTGTGGGTGTTGAGGCTACCCCTTGGCCCTGTTGAGGGAAGCCAGGACTACCTCTGGTAGACTGTCTGTGCGCAGCCCTAAGCCTTGCTAGTGGAGGATCAACAAGCTCGGGTTCGAGTCCGACGAGGTGCTTCGCTTAGACGACCCCGGCCCATCGATTCGGGCTAGATTCGGTGGGCGGCTCGCAGAAGGTGTTTGCGTGAGGGGGGCGGCCTTCTAAGAAGGCCAGGGGGGCATCTTCGAAACTCCCCCGCTTTGTGAACGCCTTCTCAGAAGCATGCAAGCCCTTCGAAGAAGCCCCCCGCCTTCTCAAAAGGCCGCCCCGCGCCCTTGTGCGCGTCGCCAAATCAAATCGGACCCGCTGATCCTGCCAACCCGTTGATGGGGCTTTCGATCAGCAGGATACGATGCGCTTTGAGATGGTTCTGGCCAACCGCAAGAGGAGGAGGAGGAGGAGGAGGAGGAGGAGGAGGAGGAGGAGGAGGAGGAGGACGAGGAGGAGGAGGAGGAGGAGGAGGACGACGGCGAGGACGACGGCTCCGACGGCGGCGACTGCGTCGGCGGCCCCTGGCAGGATCGCACGGTGCATCTCGGCGATGCGCATCCGAGGTGCTCAAAGAGCACTTCTCGACGTACGGCGAAGTCAAGGGCATCCACGTTTGCCACTCGAGGGTCAAGTCGGGCAACACGCGCGACGCCGGCGGCGATGAGACTCCTCCCCACATCGTCCCCAACCTCCCTATCTTCCCCCATCTCCCCCTCCCGCCCCCTCATCCCCCTTCTCCAATTTCTCCCGACGTTCTGCATCTTTCTCGTCCACGTGCTCCGTCTCCTCCTTTTCCTCTCGCTCCTTCCCCACTTCCCCTCCCCCATCTCCCTCTCCTCTCCGCGACACTGATTGAGAGGGGGGATGCCAAGAGTGCGACCTTCAGGCCTCTACCCCTCGAACACTGCAACCGATCATTCTCGAAACAGCTTGCTCGTAAGGGTCCCATCTATATTGCTTCTAAGGAGCCAGCACGGGGCGACCACGATCTGGAATCGATGGGGCGCCATCCTCGTCCGTTGTCTCCCGCTGTCTTCTGGCTGTCTCCCGCCACCTTCCGCCGTCTCCCCCTGTCGCCCGTTGTCTCCCGGCTGTCTCCCGCAACCTTCCGCCGTCTCCCCCTGTCTCCCGCTGCCTCCCGTGGCCTGCCCGCGTCTCCGGTCGCTCCCCGCGGTCCTCCGCTGGCTCCCGTGGCCTGCCGCGGTCTCCCGTTGGCTCCCACTGTCTGCCGTTGTCTCCGGTTCGAGCGTGCTTCTGTATTGCCTGGGGCATACATGGGCATCATAGCCCCCGGCCCCCCCCCTCCCCCCCCTATAACGTAACGCCCCTCCCCCCCAGTGCGCTCCGGGCAATGCCGCCGTGCGCACGGCGGGGGGGGAGGCGTTACATTACATCCCCGCCGTGGCCCCTCCCCCTCCCCGCCCTAGAATGCCCATTGCCGCCGGAAATAAACAAACGCGCTCTTGTTTCCCGTGTTGTACTGTTGTCTCCCGTTGTCCTTCTTGGTCGCTCTAGGTGTCTCAGTGTTTGCCCCTTTTTCCGCCAGAGTGGAAAGCTGTTTCGGGCATTCTGCCGCAGGGGTGCACTTGTAATCACTGAGCTCAGGGCAGTATACCAGAGACTGTTTCCAGTTGCAGCCCCTGCTGTGCATTCCGATGGCCAGGCAGTCTCCTAATGCCTCGGGGGAGCCCCGAGGACCGGCAGCGCCGGGCGTTGCCAAGTTCTGGCTCGTCAGTGATATACTCGCGGCTCCGCGGCCCGTGCAGGCGTGGAGTCCCGCGAGACGGAGCACGCTGCCGAGGGGCAACCCCCTCCGACCCGCGCCCAGCGGGCCCGCGCCTTCGAGCCTGCCGAGCTCCCATCCCATGCGACCCCCCCCCTCCCTTTCCTCGAGGGTGGTGCCCACCTCGGCCACGGGGGGAGCGGGCGAAAACCCGCGGGGCGCTCGCCCCCGGAGCAGGCTCGGCGCAGGGGCCGCGAGCTCGCGGCCCCGTGCCGCCCGCGCCGTTTCTGCCGCGGCGTGCCAGCCGCGCGGCCTGGCGGCGGCAGGCCGCTGAGACCCCGCGCGGCGAGCCCGGGAGTGGCGGGGCACCCTCCCCGGAGCAGGCTCGGGGCAGGGGCCACGAGCTCGCGGCCCCGTGCCGCTCGCGCCCTTCTTCCGCGGCGTGTCTGCCGCGCGGCCTGGCGGCGGCAGGCCGCTGAGACCCCGCGCGGCGACCCCGGGAGCGGCAGGGCTCCCGGAGGGCGACCAGCCGGAAAGGCTGCGGGTGGGACGGCGCCCGGCCACGCGTGGGCCCGCGCAGCGCAGCGCCGTCGTGAAGTCGGGCCTGTCCCTCCACGGGAGGGATGTTCAGACACAGGCACAAGGTAGTCTGGGGACGATTTTTCGAAGATTGTTTGACCATGTTGGGATATGTTTTGAATCTGTTCTGTTCTTCGTGCAAAATCCCCTTGTAGGAGGGCAGGCCCGACTTAACGCTATCATATAGTTCCTACAGGCCCCGTGCAGGAACAGGTGCCCCCCCCTTGGGGCCCCATTTGCGAATGTCCTCCAGCTTAGATCAGCAGGACCCCTGCAGTTTCCTCCCTCTGCTCCTCCCCTCGCCCCCCTCCCTCTCCTCCCTCACCTACAGGTCCCCTGCCCCCCGCCGCCTCGTGCCTCAGGAGTTCCGGAAGCGGCCAGCGGCGCTGGGCTTCGTCGTCATGGAGACCGCCGAGGCCGCGAAGAGAATCCTCGAGGCGGGCCCCTCCTCCTGCCTGCTCCCCCTTTCCTGTCCCTCCTCCTCATTGTTCTATCCCTCCTATGCATGTCTTCTCCTTTTCCTGATCACCATGTTATTTGACTCTTCTGTTGTCCTCCTCCTGCGGGGAGTCGATCTTGTTCGCGGGCTCGCGCTGTTCGGATTATCCTCCCGCACCTCGGCTGAAGAGCTGGTGCAGCGGGTCATTGGTATGAGGAAGCGCGCACCCCACGACCCCGACGAATCGGGGGACGAGTTTTAACTTGTTGCTTGTGCATGCGAGTTGGGTGGTCCCTTTTCAGCTGGTGCTGCACTCCTCCTACTCCGCCTCCGCCTCCGCCGCCGCCTCCTCCTCCTCCTCCTTCATCCCCTCACTCTCACGAGGCTGGCCCCGAGATCGAGGTCAAGGACGTCAAGGTTCTCGTCCAGCCGTTCAATCGGAACCACGGCGACGAGGGAGGGAATGGCCGCCGTGGCACGAGACCCTCCGACTAGCAATCCCCGCCAGCCTCGTGGTCGTCGGCGGCGGTCAGTGTCTCCAGCGTTCCTCCACCTGTTGCTCCTCCCCCCCTCCCTCTTCGTCCTCCTCCTCGTCCTCCTCGTCCTCCTCCCCATCATCCTCCGTATCCGTTTTGGCTCACGATGTGTGCTGTCGCGGAAACATAGTGGATACCGCTTGTCCGCGGCCAGCTTCCATATTCCTGTGAGCTTCTGTCGGGACAAGATCCGTCTCCCGCAGACGGCCTGGCGGGTAAACGGAGGTGTTTCCGTTCCTCTCAGTCTATACGTTGTTCCTCTCATGGGCGAACGTGCTGGCAGCGAACGTGCTCATGTTCCAAAATCAAGACAAGTTCAATTGTCGCAGGAACCGTGCTCCTGATAATTCCCGTATTGCCGCATATCTACCGGTTGGCGACGAAGATCATCGCACTCCCGAAAGTGCTGGCACTGGCAGTTTTGGCTCTGGTTTCCCACGGCAAGAATGTCGACCCGTCAACGACGACGACGATGGCATGTCTGATGATGACGATGATGCTGCTGCTGCTGCTGCTGATGATGATGATGATGATGATGAGGAGGAGGAGGAGGAGGAGGAGGAGGAGGAGGAAGGAAGGAAGGAAGGAAGGAAGGAAGCGACGCGCACTTCGGCCAGCTTGTGCCTTCGGACATCGAGCAGCTCAAATCCACCCGTCAGTTCCTCCTCGAGGACCTCACCAGCGTTGTCCCCACCATGGTCGAGGACAAGGTCGCCACCCTCGTCGCCGCCCTTGACAAGCAGGCCTCGCGGAGCAGTGCAATTGGTGTTCTTCTTCGTGATCTTCCCCGTGTGGCTGCGGATGCGGCCAGCAGTTTTCAGACAGCACGATCGACTGCCCCCATAGGCAAATGCAAGAGCATATCGATGCCCATCATGTTCGAATTCGTGGAGCAGAAAACAGATTGGATGAGCAGGACACTGGCCTCGTCAATATACGCGAAATTAACCAGATTCGAGAGGCCCTTGCTCTGGCTAGCGCGCAGCCCAAGCCCGTCCCCAGCTCTGCAGGCTTCGAGCGCGAGATCCATCGACCATGCTTTATTGAGGTCTCCACGTCTAAGCTCGCAAACCTCAACAGCGTCAAGCAGTGCCTTACGGACTGAATCACCACGGAGGGCGTGCAAGCCACTGACTTCGACATTGAGTCGGCAGAACAAGTCTTTCGCTACTTCACGGTCAAGGTCACTGGGGCAATTGGACCGGCACTTCACAGAGTAGCCAAGGCATTGGATGCCCAACGGCTCGGCCCTGGGCAGTGGAAACACTTCCAAACAGACGCGGCAGATGGCTCGCAATGCGGCTCACACATCGGCGCGGATAAGAATCCCAAGCGCATGAAGGCGGAGGCGCAAGGCAAGAAGCTCAGGGAGGCCGTCCGCTCAATGGACCCGTACAAAATATGCCTCGTCGATCGTGACCGTGGCTACATTATGGCAGGTTGGAGCCCCGTTGCCCAACTCGCCCATTCCCCTGGCAACGGCAAGACTTGCCTGCGATGGGCCAGAAAATCCATCGCCAAGTTGCAGCCCGACCGTCAGCGCATGGAGCAGCGGGTGCCATCAATCGCTGCCCTTCTGGAAGTTGCATAATGGCATAATGGTGTATTAGGCGCGCTGGTAGAAGCGGTCTGTGGAGCCAAAACGAATGCTCCATGCGCGTCGGTTAGCTCTTGCAGCACAGGGCCCTCGTTCATGCACCTGGCGCCAAGGCGCAGAATATGCTGCACAACCTCAGGCGCATCAGTTTTAAATGTGGGCTGGTGGCGCTGCAAGACTAAGAGCTATATCACGAAGAGAGCCAACTTCGTGATCTTCTGTAGAGCTCCATCTGAGACTGCGGGCGTTGATTGCAAATGTCGTCACGATTGTTGAGGTGGTCCCTGGTCTCGTGCTCCGCTTGGTTATTCAGACCGAGAAGCAGCTGGTCACCCATCATAACATCAACGGCCTTGAGCTGTCTTAAGCAAGTGCTGTTAACATCTCGGAAGGTGCGCGCTGACCGCCCGCGCGCGACTCGTGCGCAGACTTCGCGGACCGTTATGACACATGGCGATTCCAGCTTCTTCAATTCCGCCCCTTTGCTTCCTCTTCTTCGTTATCAGCCTGACCGTGCGAAGGTAGGCAGCAGGGGGCCACCGTGCTCGCGCTCCTGCGTGGCGGAAGCTGGGCCAACGGCGCGCGCGTTCCGCGCGAGCGCGGCTGGTCATGGAGACGTGTCCTTTCCACGCCGGGCTCCTCGTCGCCATCCTCCCTTCACCCTCCCACCTTCCGTCGCTCCCTCCCTCCCACCTTCCTTCGCTCCCTCCCTCCTCCCTCTCTCCTCGCTCCCTCCCTCCTCCCTCCCCCCTCCCTCCCTCCCCCCTCCCCTCCCTCCCTCCCTCCCACCCTTCACCCTCCCTCCTTCCTTCGCTCCCTCCCTCCTCCCTCTCCCCTGCCTTCACCTGGGCCGTCACGCGGAATCCTGCCGCTGGAGTGCCCCATTTGCCCCACCGCCCCGCACACGGGTGTTCCCCCCTGTTGTCGTCGTCGTCGTCGTCGCCGTCGTCGTCGTCGTCGTCGTCGTCGTCGTCGTCGTCGCCGTCGCCGTCGCCGTCGCCGTCGCCGTCGCCGTCGCCGTCGCCGTCGCCGTCGCCGTCGCCGTCGCCGTCGCCGTCGCCGTCGTTTTTGTTCACCGTCATTGTCGTCGTCATTGTCGTCGTTCGCGTCCCCCTCGTCGGTTTCGGTCGCCCTCGTCCTCGCCACCGTCGTCGCTCTCGTCGCCGCCGTCGCCGTCGCCGCCGTTGTCGCCGTCGCCGCCAAGGTCGCCGCCGCTGCCCGCCGCCGCCGCCCGCGCAGGCGCGGAGGGGGAGGCCTCCAGCGGCGGCGCAACGCAGGGCGGCGGGCCGCAGAAGAGGGCCAGGACCGACGGCGCGGCGGTGCCCAAGACGGGGAGCCACAAGGGGCGCGCCAGCCCCACGGCCGGCCGCGGCGGTGGCGGTCTTCGTCTGCCTCCCCGTGGCTCCAGGGGCCTTCACCGTCGCCAGGGCCGGAGTCGTTTCGAGGTTCTGGTCAGGTCGTTTTGGGCAGCTCCAGGGGGGTTCGGCGTTGGGACCCCCGAGCTGCGCCGACCACGGCAGCGGCCTTGGCGCACGGGCACCTTTCGAGGCTTGAAGCTCAAGGGTCGAGGGGCGACCGAGGCCCCCTCAGCAGGTGGCCACATCCGAACTTGTGGCTGTTGTGGGGCGCCCTCTGGAGAGGTCCAGGGTTCAAGTTTTGAGGGCGAGGGGGCTATCTTCATTAAGCAGGGCGTTTCTGAGGTTGTTCGTCGTCTTCGGGTTCCCGGGGCCCTTCCCAGAGCCAAGGGAACGTCAACATGGATGCGAGATGAAAAGTTGGTCCCAGGGACCACCCACTGGTTCCAGAGCCTGCTTCCTCCAGGACCCCCCAGGACCCGGCCCCCGCGTGCCAAATTGGCAGGAAAGGAAGAGCTCTTATCCCCTCATTCCTTCATCCGCCTTTCTCCTCCTTCATCCTCCTTTCTCTTTTGTCCTCCCTCCTCCTGCCTCCCTCCTCTTCCTCCTCCTCCTCCTCCTCCTCCTCCTCCTCCTTTTCATCCTCCTCCCCCTCCTCCCCTCCCTCCCTCCCTCCCTCCCGCCCTCCCGCCCGCCCGCCCGCCGCCCGCCCGCCCGCCCGCCTGCCTGCGTGCCTGCCTGCCTGCCTGCCTGCCGCCGCTCATTCCGTATTCCTCCTCCCTCTTCCCTTTCCTCTCGCGCTCTCGGGAGAGGAGGAGGAGGAGGAGAGGAGGAGGAGGAGGAGGAGGAAGAGGAGGAGGAGGAGGAGGAGGAGGAGGAGCGAGGACGAGGAGCGAGGACGAGCGAGGAGGAGGAGGAGGGGAAGGGAGAGCGTAGAGGAGGAAGATGAGGAGGGGCAAGGGGGCTAGGGGGAGGAGGGAGCTTGAGGAGGAAGAGGAGGAGCAATCGGAAGGTGAAGAGCAGGAAGAGGAAAAAGGAGGAAGGGGAGAAGGAGGAGGGGGGCAAATGGAGGAGGACGGTGATCCGCGGTACGGTCGGACCGAAGTATAAGATCGAGGTCGGTTCGGGGAGGGTACCCAAATGTTCTTCGTGCTGGTTGGATGTTCTTGTGCATCCTGGGGGAAGGTACCCTCGAGTGATCTTATGGTTTGGGGTGCTTTGGTCGGCGGAGGGCGTCATGTTCTTGAATGTTTGTCTTCTCCCCTAGGTCTGACTGGTAGCACCAGGGGGCTGGAGCAGGGTGAGGGTGATTCGCAGGAGGAGGAGGAGGAGGAGGAGGAGGAGGAGGAGGAGGAGGAGGAGGAGGAGGAGCAGGCGGAGGAGCAGAAGGAGGAGGAGGAGGAGGAGGAGGAGGAGAGGAGGAGGAAGCGGAGGGAGCAGCTGAGGGCCTCATGGGGGAGAGGGAGGGGGCCAGATCGGGGCGGGCGGGGGACCTGGGGCAGACTCGAAGAGGAGAAGCAGGGCGCAGGACGATACATGCCGGTCGTTGAAAGCAGCTATTGTTGGATTTCCGGGTCCCAATCTACTTTACGTAGGCGCCTTCCTATTTCAATGATCGAGTGGTTGCACCCGTTGCTCCCTCTTCGGGGGGCGGGCCGGATCCCAATCTGCCTTCGGCGCCTTCCTGCTTCATGCTTCTGCCCCCTTCTCCCGACCGGCGGGCAAGGATCATGAGCAGGAGGAGGAGGGGAGGAAGAGGTGGAGGAAGAGGAGGGAATGAGGAGGAGGAGGAGGAGGAGCAGGAGGAGCAGGAGCAGGAGCAGGAGGAGCAGGAGGAGGAGGGGAGGAAGAGGTGGAGGAAGAGGAGGGGGGGAGGAGGAGGAGGAGGAGGAGGAGGAGGAGGAGGAGGGAGGAGGAGGAAGGAGGGGAGGAGGAGCAGGAGCAGGAGCAGGAGCAGGAGCAGGAGCAGGGGAAGGGGAAGGGGAAGGGGAAGGGGAAGGGCTGCCTGGACGAGCAGGGCGGGGCTGGGCGCGCCTTCCTGCGGTTCCCCGCGAGAAGCGGCCCCAGCCGCAGGGCGCCAGGCCCGGGGGGCGCGCAAACCTGGGCAGCCGCCCAGGCCAGGCGCCCGACCTGGGCCCCGGGGTCGGCGCGTCGGGGGGCGTACCCCCTCCTGCCTCGGCCAGGAAAAACCTCCTCCTCCTCCTCCTCCTCCTCCTCCTCCTCCTCCTCCTCCTCCTCCTCCTCCTCCTCCTCCTCCTGGCTCGGCCAGGAAAACCTCCTACTCCTGGCTCGGCCCCAGGGTCGGCGCGTCCGGGGCGGCTGGGCAAGAGGGGGGTGATGACTGACCGAGGGAGGTCTGCGGTCACTGCCCTCGCCCCCTGCTTCTCTCGGCGGGGAGCAAGCGCTCGCCCCTCCTTCCCCCTCCTGCCTCCTCCTGCTCCTCCTCGTCTCATCCCCGAGTCGTTCCCAAGGAGGAGGAGGAGGAGGAGGAGGAGGAGGAGGAGGAGGAGGAGGAGGAGGAGGAGGAGGAATAGGAAACAGAGTAGGAGGAACGGGAGGAAGACGAGAGGCAAGACTGGGAGAGGCAGGACCGCGCATGGCCGTGGCCACGATCTACACCTCCCCAGACTTCCTGGCCCCCTCGACACCCCTCTTCTTTTCATGTCGGCACGTCCCCTGGTCCGTCCCCTGCCGGGCCGCGCAGCTGTGCCTCGGGCCACCTGGCCCCCCGCTCTGCCTCTCTCGGACGCCCGCTCCTGGACGCCCGCCCCGGGGGGCGTAACCCCTCCTGCCTCAGCCAGGAAAAAACTCCTCCTCCTCCTCCTCCTCCTCCTCCTCCTCCTCCTCCTCCTCCTCCTCCTCCTCCTCCTGGCTCGGCCAGGAAAGCCTCCTCCTCTTCCTCCTCCATTCCCATGTCCATGTCCTCCTCCATGTTCCGTTTCCGAGGCGTGCGCCCAGCCGAACGAGCGAGCGAAGTTCGTCGCCTCCTCCTCGTCCTAGTCGTCCTGCACGCCCTTCTGCTCCGCTTGCTCCTCGTCGCCGTCCTGGCAGGCCAGCATCTGCACTCCCCGAGGTGTGCAAGGAAGTAGGTGGGGCAAGGAGACCCTGCCCGTGTTGCAGTTCGTCAGACGATTCCGCCTGCGACGGGCGCGTCGTCCCTCTCCTCGTTCGCCGCCTCCGTCCTCTCCCCTCTACCGCTGAGAGCTGTCAGCACCCCTTACAGTCGCCCCTACGTGGGGATGCGTCCCTTTCGCAGGAATGTGCTCGAGTCCTTGTTTTCTCGGCCCGTCCTCACCCTCGTGCCCTGGGGGTCTCGCCCCAGCTTGGACGCCCGAGGGTCCCATCTCCTGTCCCTGCATCCTCGTGGTGCGCGGCGAGTGTAGGACCTCGCAGAATTCAGCAGGGGAAAAAACACACAGACACAATTCATTGTCGATTCCCTGGAAAATATGGGAGACATGGGAAGTGGGGAGAAGACGAAAATCCAACAAATATAGAAACATGTGGGACATCCTGTTTGCGTGTGTGTGTATGTGTGTGTGTTTGTTTGTGTGTACTTGGGCCCCTTCAAGAATTACAGTCGAACATCTGGTTCAAAAACCTCCTCCCGAAAAGCTGGGCCAGCATTTCTGAACCAACTTGCCGGAACACTGGCCCAGTTTCCTGAGCACGTTCGCCCCTCCAGCGTCAATAACATATGTTCGCCCCAGTTGATTTCAAAGGAACTTCCAGGAAGCTGGCCCAGATTTCTGAACTTATGATTCTCTTGGTCATACTTTGGGCTGCAGCTCAAACCGCCAACAACTTCCAGCACGTCCGAAGCTCCTTCCGTGCACCCCACCGTCCCCCCACCCCCCGCTCCACCCTTCGCGGGACGCGAGTTCGGAGCGGTGTCCCAGAATCCCAGGGCGTTCGGTCGCATGCCGCCGCGACCTTCCCCGCCGATGCGTGCGGTGGTCTCGCACCCGTGCCTCGCATTCTCGGGTTGGGTATTGTTTTGTTGACTGCAGACCGCGGGGCCGTGTCCGTCCGCCCTGGGCCCGGGACGAGCGTGCGGGTGGGAAGTCTGCAAGCTCCTGTCAGGGGGACGGCCCTGCGCCCGGGCGACCCCGGCTGGTCCCCTTACGTCTACGACGACGAGGCGAGGGAGCTCCAGCTGGACGAGCGGGGCAGCAGCAGGCTGGGCGATGGTGATGGTGATGGTGATGGTGATGAGGATGATGAGGATGAGGAGGAGGAGGAGAAGGAGAAGGATTATGATGATGGTGATGATGCTGCTGGTGATGCTGCTGTTGCTGCTGCTGCTAGTGATGATGGTGGTGGTGGTGATCGTGATGGTGATGGTGATGCTGGTGATGGTGATGATGATGCTGATGATGATGATGCTGATGATGGTGATGATGATGGTGACGATGATGGTGATGGTGTTGGTGATGATGGTGATGGTGATGACCATGGTCATGATAACGGTGGTGATGATGATGACGACGACGACAGCGACGACGACGACGACGACGACGACGTTGATGATGATGATGATGATGATGATGATGATGATGATGATGATGATGATGATGATGATGATGATGATGATGATGATGATCAACATCATCAGCATCGTCATCAGCAGCAGCATGATCATGCTGTTCATGCTGTTCATGGTGATGATGATGATGCTGATGATAGTGGTATTGGTAATGGTGGTGATGGTGGTGAGTGCGATGGTGGTGATGCTGATGTTGATGTTGGTGATGTTGATTATGATGGTGATGCTGATGCTGGTGCTGGTGCTGATACTTATGCTGCTGCTGCTGCTGATGGTGATGGTGCTGGTGCTGGTGGTAATGACAGGAGGAGGAAGAGGAGCAGGCGGATGAGGAGGAGGAGGAGAAGGAGGGGGAAGAGAAGGGAGAGGAGAGGGAGAGAGAGAGAGAGGGAGGCAGGAGGGAGGGAGTCAAGTAGTAGAAGGTGGTGGGGGCGGAGGTCGAGGACGGGATGATGATGCCGATGATCCTGGTATTGCTGATGGTGGTGATGATGAATCACGAGTGGGTCGAAACGGTGCCAGGGCGAGCCGCAGTACTTCGTCTTGACGGCCCAGCTGGGGGCCCTCGACCCAGCCACGGTGTGCATGCGCACGGGGCAGGCCAGCGACGACCGGGCAGCTGTTCGAGACGCCATCGCACGGGCACGTCGGCCCGCATCGCGTACCATGACGTTGCTCACTGGCGATTGGAACTCCACGCGGGAGTCCAGAGGCTGCATCCATCTCGGCGGCGAGCGAGGGGCGGGAGTGAGAGGGAGAAGGCCTTCTCAGAAGGCGGCGGGGCTTCTCAGAAGCCCTCTGGCCTCGTGAGAAGTTTCCTGTGTCTTCGGGGGAGGCTCTGAAGACTCCTCCGAAGGCCAGGGGAGGGACTGCCGAGCCTTCTGAGGAGGCCCGCCCTTTCTCGCTTCCCCCCAGGCTGGCCGCCGACAATCTCTGGGCCGGCGCCTGGACGGCGCAACAGGACGAGTTTGAGCGCGACGACACCGAAGCAGAGTTGCTCCAGCCGGGCTCCGTGCACGAGGTGCGGCAGATCGCAGCCAAGAGCATCAACGGCCAGGCGCTGGATCGATGTCTGCAGGGATTCGCGTCTGCCTGGGCCCCGCCCATCGCAGGGCAGCAGGCGGCGCGGCAGGTTCAGAAACGAGGACGTGCGGCGGGCCCTGCGGCGATCCCGGCCCACGGCGTCAGGAACAGACGGCGTCAGCTCGTGCTCTGGAAGCGGTTCGGTCTCCTTAGCAGTCGACGCATCGTGGGATGCGGCGCGCGTCTTGTCGAGCGAGACGGTGGCCGAAGACATCCGAGCCGCCTTCACCGACGAGGGAATGGATGGCGCTCAGGAAGGCGGCCACGCCTTCAACCTCGTCGTCCTGCGCTGCATCCCAAAACGTCCAGTGGAACGCCACCAGGAAATGGGGGAGGTCTTCGCCGCTGAGGGCACCCTGTCGTTACCTTCGGTAAGAGTATCCAGCAGATTTTCCGCGGGGGATCATAAGGAGTGCTAGGAGGGCGTTCTGGACCCGTGGGTTTCGGGCGACTGACGTGGCTTCCTGCCCGGGCTCTCCATGCTCGCCGCCCTGGTAGACCTTGAGCATCATGCGATGTACGTCGCGGCCACGTGTCAGAGGGGAATGATAATGCTGATACATAGGTTTCAGAGCAGCACTCCCAAGCGCGTCGCATCAACTCCTTCGGCGTTGCCTGCAGGGATGCGGGCTGCCACGCGCGGCTCTCCGCGTGCTCGACGACCTCTGCACGACGAAGGCTGGTGCGAGGCATCCGTCGGCGGAGGCCGCCTTCTGGGCTGCGCCGTCGGGTCTGGCATCGAGCAGGGTATGCCCGCTCTCCCCGCTGAGGCTCGCGGCGGCCATGGACCTCCTCTCCTCCGCGTCCTCCTCCTCCTCCTCCTCCATCTCCGTTTTCCCCTCCCCCTCCTCCACCTCCTCCTCCATCTCCTTTTCCCCCTCCCCCTCCTCCACCTCCTCCTCCTCCTCCTCCTGCTCCTCCTCCTCCTCCTCCACGTCCTGGCCGAGAGGCCGGGCGCCGGGAGTGCCATGCCGCGCCCTCGCCGACGACGCGGGGGTGGTCCTGTCGGAAGGCAGCAGCCAACCTGGCCCAGCGGCGGGCCTCTCGGAGGGGGCCCGGGGAGGCCCTCTGCGGCGCCTCTTCGATGGGGCCTCCCCCGCGGCGCGGGGAGGCCTTCGGGGCCCCGCCGCTCGGCGGAGGTGACGAGCGATCACGACGCGGTCTGGAAGAGTTTTGGCGATCTCTCGGGGATGGAGGTCAATGTGCCCAAGACCGCGGGGATCCCCCTATGGTCGCTCGAGGCAGCTGCAGAAGTCGTGGCGGGGGCCTGCCCTGCTTGGCGATCTGCTCCACGGAAGCGAACAGCGACCTACCCGGGCTGCAAGATAGGCCTTGGCAAGACCGACGGCTTGTGGGACGATGCCATCCGCGGATAATTGGAGAGGGTCGAAGGCTGGCCATGACCGCCACGGGACTAATTGCACTTAGCTTCTTTGGCTTAGAGTGTGCACGCCCTTCCCGCGCTCGCACTTCATCTGCCAGGTGGCCAAGCCGCCAGGGCGGTGCTGGATCTGGAGGCGTGGGCACTTCGCAGAGCAGCGCCAGGGCAGGGCCATATCTCGGGGGCGGCAAAGAGGGGGGTGATGACTAGGGGGGGGTGGATATCATGGCGGGGGCCATGATATTTCCCCAGATTTCATGGCGCCTCTTCTTATTTTATTACGTCCCTGGCCCCCGCGCTGGGCCGCGCACATGCCGCCGGTCGTGATTTGCACCCCCCCTTCTTGGACACCCCCCTCTTGGCCGCTCCCGAATATCCAATATCTGGCGACTGGGAGATTTCGGCATGCCCACTTCTCTTGGGCCGCTTCATGACCTGGCGCGCACAGCACAGCTGCGGGCGTACCACCTCGAGCACGGGGCCCACGGCGGCTTGCGGCTGGCCGAGCGCGCGCAGCAGCTGTCTTGGGACGCTGCCAGCAGCGGCATGCCACGCCACTGATGGAGCGGCTTCCCTGGCGGGCAGCATCCGTACTCCAGATTTCGTAATAAAGGGAGGGGGGTCTCATTTCGGGGGGGGGTCTTTTCCAGGCTATCTTGGAGGGCCTGGGGGGGTCTGGGGACGATGTTTTGGAGGGTTCTCCCACGGGGAAGGTCTGAAATGGCTTGTCTTGGAGGCTCCAGACCCCTCCCTTTTATTACGAAATCTGGAGTACCTGCGGTGCTGGCCAAGACTGTGTCCGACATGTATTGCAGGTGGCTGCGTGAAGACCACGAGCCCCGCCCCCAGAGTGCAGCTCGGCAGCCCATATCCAGCAGGTAGCAGCGACCCCCCAGCGCACCTCCGCACCCGCCGCAAGAGCTCGATCGGTGGAGCCTGCCCGGTCTGCCGCGCGCCGCAGCAGAGGCAAGCGAGAGTCGTCTGGGCCGCCTGCGGGGGCTTTTGCTCATCCTTGGGTCGTACTGCAGCGCTTGGAACTGGTTGGAGCCAGTGGCGCACCGCCCGCCGATTTCAGCAGCGCGCTCCGGCGAACGATGCATGCCACCTCGGATATGGGGGCGCCACAGAAGACGGCGCGGAAGACGACTCCCACCCACTGCGCCGCGGTGAGGCGCTTTCGGGCCTGGCGGCTTTTGGAGGAGGCAGGCCTACAGTCGTTCGCCCGCCTGTCCGCCTCCCCCCTGGAGGCCGCCGCGCTTGGGGTGGGGCTGGGGACCGCTCCCTTTCTCTCCTCTCTCGCTCCCGCGGCCTCCCCTCCCCTCCATCCCCTCCTCCCCCCCCCGCCAAGTCTCCTTCGCAGTTGTTTCAGTCGCCTTCGGTGCCATGGGCGTCGTCTTTGCCGTCGTCCTCTTTGGGGGGCGGTCTCCTGGTTCTCCTTGGGCTTGAGGCCCTCCACGGGAGCGGAACCTGAGGCAGCGGCCTTAGCAATCAATCGGCAACATGCGGGGCTGTGCGCCCGCAGGCAGGCCCCCATGTCAGACACGCCGTGGGCAGCAGGCCGCTGTTATGCTCCTGAAGCCCAACGCCTCCCCCAATCCTCCTCCCCCCCTCCTTCCCCCAAGGAGCTCGGCGTGAGTGGCTTCTTGCGGTGGCAGTAGTCCAACGAGCCAGTTTGCGTGGTGTTCTGCCTGGGACGTTGTGTGCATCCGGGGCCGCGCTGCGCAGGAGGAGCGTCGTCATCCTGTCTGCGCGCGCCAGCTGCCCGCGGGGCCCGTCGCTTCTGCGCGGGCGGCGCCTGCGCCCGCCAGGTGCACCTGCGGGGCGCACCGCCCTGTCTTGCACGGCAATCCGGGGTTGCCCCCCAGCGGGGTCGAGCAGCCACCCCATCGCGCGGGCGCATGCCCTCCTTCAGCCTCCCCTCCTCTCTCTCCAACTTTGTCTGAACGTATTTGATGTCTCAACTTGCGTATAGCATCGTACGCTCGCACACGTAGCGCAGCCCTTCGGCCTCAGTCATGCGGCTCTGCTCCGGCTCATCCGTCTTTGCTGGTGTGGGCCCTCTGTGCGAGTACCTTCTCTTGCAGTGGCCATGGAGACGGGTCCACGCACGCGCAAGTTTTAGCTTACCTATACGACCACCCTTCGGGTGATAGGGCGGTTCGGGGGGGGGAACCAACGTCTCACTCGATCGGTCTCACTATCGATCTCAGTATCGGTCTCGCTCGATCGATCTCCCTCGATCGATCTCACAATCGATCTCACTCGATCTATCTCACAATTGATCTGACTATCGATCTCACAATCGATATCACAATCGATATCACATTCGATCTCACTATCGATCTCACTATCGATATCACAACCGCTGTCACAATCAACGTCATCATCATCATCAACAACAACAACATCAACATCAACATCAACATCATCATCACCAACATCATCATAATCGGGACACCGTCCTCATCATCAACACTAACATCATCATCATCACGGTCATCAACATCATCGGGACACCACCATCATCATCATCACCATCATCACAATCATCATCATCATCATCAGCAGCATCGGGACACAGTCATCGTCATCATCATCATCAGCAGCATCATCATCGGGACACCATCATAATCACAATCGTTATCATCATCATCATCATCATCATCATCATCATCATCATCATCCGTCATCGGGACACCATCATCATCTCATCCTCATCATCGACATCATCATCATCAGCATCATCAACATCATCATCAGCATCATCATCTTCGTCATCATCGGGGCACCATCATCATCATTACCAACATCAGCATCAACATCATCATCATCATCACCATCGGGACGCCATCATCATCAACATCATCATCACCATCAGAATAATCATCATCATCGGGACGCCATAATCATCATCAACCTCATCATCATCAACATCATCATCATCGGGACACAATCATAATCAGCATCATCAACATCAACATCATCATACTCATCATCATCGGACACCATCATCATCAACATCATCATCACCATCATCATCCTCATCATCGGGACACCATCAGCATCATCATCATCATCGTCATCATCATCATCATCATCGACATCATCATCATCATCATCATCATCATCATCATCATCATCATCGGGCACCATCATCATCATCATCATAATCATCATCATATCACATCATCATCGTCCTCATATCATCATGACCCACAGTCATCTCATCATCGTCATCATCATCATCATCATCATCATCAGCATCATCATCAGCATCATCATCAGCATCATCACCATCTCATCATCATCATCATATCATCATCATCATCATCACCATCACCCTCACCATCACCATCACCATCACCTCATCATCATCATCATCATCATCATCATCATCATCATCATCATCATCATCATCATCGCGGGACACCGCGGGACACCAGCGGGACACCGCGGGGCACCGCGGGACACCGCGGGACACCGCGGGACACCGGCGGCGGGACACCGCGGGGCCCCGGCCGCCCGGAAGGGAATCATTTGGTCCGGCCGCGCCTCAGCCACACGGGACACCAGCGGGACACCGGCGGGACACCGCGGGGCCCCGGCCGCCCAGAAGGGAATCATTTGGTCCGGCCGCGCCTCAGCCACAGGAGACTTTCTCTCGCCCGCCCACGCAGCTTCGCCTCGCCCGCACGCACGGCCCGCACGAACACGAAACCGAAATCGATTTCCCGGTAGGGGGGCTCTCCGTTCCACTTCGATCTCACCCCCTCACCTCCGACAATTGCCCGCTGGCGTCTCCCTTCTGTCGCCTTCTCTTGCTGTCCTTCCTTCTCCTCCTTCTCCTCCTCCTGCTCCTCCTCCTGCTCCTCTGCCTCCATGGCGTCCGTTGTGTGTTCTCCCAACCATCCTGTGGTGCTGGGCCCGCGTTTTCAAGAGGCAACGCCCCGCGTTCGTTCCTCTCTTTTACTCCTCCTCCCCCTCCTCTCTCCTTCCCTGCGTGCCCCTGTCCTCCGCACCAATCAACCATGTCGGCACACCCCTCACACACTTCGTGGCCCCATAGGTAGCCCTACCCAAGGTCCACATGGTGCCGCCCGCATGCGTCACCGCCGCTCAGTTCGGCACACCCCTCACACGCTTGTGGCCCCATAAGGAGCTCCACCCAAGGCCCAAATGGTGCCACCCGCATGCGTCCCCCCCACCCATGTTGGCACACCCCTTACACGCTTCGTGGCCCCATAGGGACCTCCACCGTAGGCCCAAACGTGCCGCCCGCACGTGACCCCGCCACTCATTTCAGCACGCCCTTCACACCTCTCGTGGCCCCATAGGGATCTCCACCCAAGGCCCAAATTGTGCCGCCCGCATGCGTCCCCGCCACCCATTTCAGCACACCCCTCTTTCGTTTCGTGGCCCCATAGGGAGCTCCACCCAAGACCCAACTGGTGCCGCCCGCATGCGTCCCCGCCACCCATGCCAGCACACCCCTCACACGCTTCGTGGCCTCGTAGAGAGCTCCACCCAAGGCCCAAATGGTGAAGCCCGCATGCGCACCTGCCACCCATGCTGGCACGCCTCTCACACGTTTTGTGGCCCCATAGGGAGCTCCACCCAAGGCCCGACTGGTGCCGCCCCCATGCGCCCCCGCCGTTCAGTTCGGCACCTTCCTCACACGTTTCGTGGCCCCATAGGGAGCTCCACCCCACCCAAGGCCCCAAAAGTGCTGGCCGCAGGCGTTCCCACCACCCATGTCGGCACACCCCTCACACGTTTCGTGGCCCCATAGGGAGCTCCGCCCGCATGCGTCCCCGCCACCCATGTCGGCACACCCCTCACACACTTCGTGGCCCCATAGGTAGCCCTACCCAAGGTCCACATGGTGCCGCCCGCATGCGTCACCGCCGCTCAGTTCGGCACACCCCTCACACGCCTGTGGCCCCATAAGGAGCTCCACCCAAGGCCCAAATGGTGCCGCCCGCATGCGTCCCCGCCACCCATGTCGGCTCACCCCCCTGTGGCCCCATTGCGAGCTCCACCCAAGGCCCAAATGGTGCCGCCCGCATGCGCCCTCGCCGCTCAGTTCGGCACACCCCTCACACGCTTCGTGGCCTCGCAGGGATCCCCATCCAAGGCCCAAATGGTGCCGCCGGCATGCGCCCCCCGCCATCCATGTCGGCACGCCCCTCACACGCTTCGTGGCCTCGTAGAGAGCTCCACCCAAGCCCAAACGGTGAAGCCCGCATGCGTCTCCTCCACACATGTCGGCGGGCCCCTCACTCGGTTCGTGGTCCCAAAGGGGGCCCCACCCAAGGCCCAAATGGTACCTCCCGCATGCTTCCCCGCCGCCCATATCGGCACACCCCTCACTCTTTTCGTGGCCCCAAAGGGAGCTCCACCCAATGCCCACATGGTGCCGCCCGCATGCGTGCCCACACATTCCGGAACACCCCTCACACGTCTCGTGGCCCCATGGAGAGCTCGACCCAAGGCTCCACGTGGTGCCGCCCGCATGCGTCCCCGCCATCCATTTCGGCACACCGCTCGCACATTTCGCGGCCGCAAAAGGAACTCCACCCAATGCCCAAATGGTGTCGTCCGCATGCGTCACCGCCACCCATGTTGGTACACCCCTCAAACGCTTCGTGTCCTGATAGTTAGTCCACCGATGACTATATTCACAACTGCGTTACTCACAACTGCGTATGGTTGTGTCCTTCGCCCGGCTAACTATGAATGGATGGTTGACCCTAGATGCCGACGCAAAGTGATAGGTTTTTTCTCCCGTTTCGTCCTTGTCTTCTTCCTTCGTCCTCCTCCCCCCTCTCTCCAGTCGGAACTGGATTGCCGACGTGTTGTTCAGGCCACGGTTCATTGCATGAACGTGCCTTTTGCAGGTCGGCTTGTGCGGTGTTCCCGGTTTGCCTAGCGACTTTTTGGTTCGCGATGTGGTTCTGTCACTTGTTGCGCTTTTGCGCAGAAAATTGATGGTATGTGATGGTGAGTATATTGACGAACGAGCAACACACACCCATACCCATAGGGGGGTCGTTTGGAGGAGGACTGGCTATGGGTATGGGTGCGGGTTGTCGGACCCTGGGGAACGCTCCCGTTCGAGCGGGGAGCCCCATCCGACAGCATGCACCCATAGCCCTCTCCGACCCCCTATGGGTATGGGTGTGCGTTGTTGGTTCGTCATATATGACGATTGTGGTGATGAGGAGGAGGATGAAGAGGAATGGGGGGGAGTGCTGAGGAGCAGGGGGAATTCGACGGATGATGATGGCGGTGGCAACGGCCATGGTGACTGTGATGTTGGTAATGTTGGTGATGAGGAGGACGAGGAGGATGAGGAGGAGCAGGAGCAGGAGCAGGAGGAGGAGGAGGAGGAGGAGGAGGAGGAGGAGGAGGAGGAGGAGGAGAGGAGGAGGAGGAGAGAGAGGAGGGAGGGAGGGAGGGGAGGGAGGGAGGGAGGGAGGGAGGGAGGGAGGAGGGAGGGAGGGAGGGAGGGAGGGAGGGAGGAGGGAGGGAGGGAGGGAGGAGGAGGAGGAGGAGGAGGGAGGAGGAGGAGCAGCAGCAGCAGCAGCAGCAGCCCCTCCTGGCTGCGGGACGACCACGCGAGGCACGGCCAGGCTCCCCCGCACGGGTCGGGCCAGGCCGCGTACTACGCCCGGTACGGCCCGCCGCCTCCAGACCACTACGCTGCCGCGCACGGCCGCCCTCCGTGAGAGCCCAGCTGGCGGCGGCGTGCGTCGCGGCGGCCCGAGCCGCAGGGATGGTGAGATTCGGCCCTCTCCCTCCTCTGCCCTCGCCCCTGTCTCCTTCACCCTTGCTGGATTCGGCCTTCTCCCTCCTCTGCCCTCGCCCCCGTCTCCTTCACCCACTTGCTGCCCCCCCGGCTGCTCATCGTCGAACTCGTCGGCGTCTGAGCGTCCCCTCTTCCCCTCGGCCGTCCCCCCCCCCCTCCCTGTCTGCTCGCCGGCCAATTCGATAGTTAGGGCCCCTATCTAGCTTCTCGCTGGAGCGGAGTTCGCCGCCTCGTCGCTGACGAAAAAAATCTCCTTCACCCTCTTCTCCCTTCCTTTTGCTGCTGCTATCACCGCTTCCCTATCCCCTCCCTCCCTCCTCCCTCCTTTCCTCTTCCCTGCTCCCCTCCTCCACTTTTTCCTGCTCCTTCCCTTTTCTGTTTTTCTCCCCGTCCTTACCTCATCGTCATCCCCTCCCTCCATCTCCCTCTTCTCATCTTCAGCAGCATCCCCCCGCTTTCCTCCGATCCCTCATCTCCCTACTTCGCCTCGCTCCTCCTCATGCTGCTGCTCCTCCTCCACCCCTGTTCCTTATCAGAAACTCCTTCCGTGTTGCACCGCCAGACATGTCGTCAGGGCGGACTGGACGCTCCTCACCGTTTACGGCCTTGACACTTGAAATCTCCAACATGTGCACGGATGGAGGGGGAGTTGTATTCAAACTGAGGCTCTCACCCTGACGACCGCGCATCCCAACCATCTCGTGGTGTTGGGTCTTCGTTTTGAAGAGACAGCGCCTCAGCGTGTCCTCCTTCCTCTTTCATCCTTCCTCATTCATTACCCCTCCTCCTCTTCCTCCTCCTTCTATATTTGCTTTTGCCCTCCGCATGTCAACCATTCATGTCGACACCATGTCGGCACACTCCTCACACGTTTCGTGGCCCCATCGGGATCTCCACCGAAGGTCCCAGTGACGCAGCCCACATGCAACCCCGCCACCCATGTCGGAACACTCTCGCACGTTTGGTGGCCCCATAGGGAGCTCTACCGAAGGTCCCAGAGGAGGCGCAGCCCGCGTGCGTCGCCACACCTGTCGGCACACCGCATCACACGTTTCGTGGCCCCACAGGGAGTGCCACCGAAACTCCCACCAGAGGCGCAGCCCGCATGCGTCCCCGCCACACATGTCGGCACACCCCATCACACGTTTCGTGGCCCCATGGGGACTTCCATTGAAGGTCCCAGCGGCGCAGCCCGCATGAGTCCCCGCCACCCATTCCCGCACACTTCTCACGCGTTTCGTGGCCTCATCGTGGACCCCACAGAAGGCTCCAGTGGCGCTGCCCGCATGTATTCCCGCCAGCCATTCCGGCACACCCTCACACGTTTCGAGGCATTATAGGGAGCTCCACCGAAGGTCCCAACGGCGCAACCCGAATGCGTCCCCGCCACCAATTTCGGCACCTCTTACACGTTTCGTGGCCCCATCGTGGCGCAGCCCGCAGGCGTCCCTGCCAGCTATTTCGGTACACCTTCACACGTCTCGTGGCCCCATAGGGAGCTCCACCGAAGGTCCAAGTGGCGCAGCCCGCATGCGTCCCGCCGCCAAGACCGGCACACCCCTCACACGCTTCGTGGCCCCATGGAGATCTCCTCCGAATGTCCCAGCGGCGCACCCCGCGTGAGTCCTAGCCACCCCTTCCGGCACACCCATGTCGGCAAAGACAGAGAGGGAAGGAGATGAAGGCAAACCGGCGGGGCCGGGGGCTCGGGCTACTGCGTACCAGCCAGGCGGGAACGCAACGCGCAACGTAAACAAGGGAGGCTGAAGAGCTGGGAAGGAAATGGGCACGAAACGGCGGCTCCACGAGGCCCCAGTGGCAAAGCCCGCGTGGCGGCGCCTCCCACTTCCGGCACCCCCCTCGCGCATTTGCGGCCCCGTGGGCAGCGCCCGCACGGCGGCCCCGCCTCATTTCGACACGCCCTTCGCGCGCTTCGCGGCCCCGGATTGAGATCCACCGAAGGCGCTATTCACAACGCCGGTATCCACAACTGCATATGGTTGGGTCTTTCACCAGGCTGATTCAAAAAGGGGGCTCTTTCCTGAGACTTCCCCAAACATGGCTATCATGTGTACAGCATCTCGGCGAAAGTTGCACGGATGGAAGTTGGATTCTTTCCAAAACAGGGTTCTCGTTTCGGACGTCGTTCGGATCCCACTACGCAGCGGTCACACGGCTTGAGGGCGGCTCCTTTTCAAAATGGGGTTCTTGCTCGGGACCGCCGTGAACTTCATGAACGCACCTTGTGGTACTCCAGATTTCGTAATAAAAGGGAGGGGGTCTGGACCCTCCAAGACAAGCCATTTCAGACCCCCCCCCCGTGGGAGAACCCTCCAAAACATCGTCCCCAGACCCCCCCAGGCCCTCCAAGATAGCCTGGAAGAGACCCCCCCCGAAATGAGACCCCCCTCCCTTTATTACGAAATCTGGAGTATTCGTTCGAGCGCCGTATACCTCCAAGGGTGGGGGGCCGCTGCTTTCAGAACGGGCCTCCCGTCCGAAGGGCGGGCCCCATGGGGCGCCCATCTTTCGAGGGGACGCTCCGCGCAGTGAAGAAGCATGCTTGCAGGGGCCTGTGAGGAGGAAAAGGAAGAGGAGGAGGAGGAGGAGGAGGAAGAGGAGGAAGAGGGAAGGGGAGGAGGAGAGGATGAGAGGAGGGAGGGAGGAGGAGGAGGAGGAGGAGGGGAGGAGGAGGTGGAGGAGGAGGAGGAGGGAGGAGGGGGACCTGGGAGGGCGCATCTTGGGGGTTTGCTCCCGTCCTTCCCCCTTCCCCCTCGCCTCCCCTTTTTCGTCTCCATCCTCTTCCCGTCGCGATGAGGGCCTCACCACCTCCACCTCCTCCCTCCTCACCTCCTCCTCCTCCTCCTCCTCCTCCTCCTCCCCTCCTCCTCCTCCCTCCTCCCCTCCTCACTCCTCCCTCCTCCCTCCTCATCCCTCCCCCCTCCTCCCTCCCCTCCTCCCTCCACCCTCCACCCTCCTCCCTCCGTCCTCCTCTCTCTCCTCCTCCTCCCTCTTCTCTCCCTCCTCCCTCCTCCCTCCTCCCTCCGTCCTCCCCTCTCCCTCCTCCTCCTCCTCTCTCCTCTTCTCCTCCTTCTCCTCCTCCCTCCCCCCTCCTCCTCCTCCCCCTCCTCCTCCCTCCTCTTCCCGGCGGTGCGGGGGCCTCACCACCAGTCTGGTCTCGGCCGCCCCGGCTGCAGTGGGCCCTCGCGCGGGGGCCGCGCGCGCGCGCGTCGTCGGCCTTCTCTCCGCGCTGCCGCCGGCCAGCAGGCGGCCGCTCGAGGACCGCGGCCGGATGGGCTGGGTTAAAGGAAACCTTGAAGGGCAGGCCTCATCCTTCCTGCCGCCTCCTTCGCCCTCCTCTTGCCTCCCGCTGCCCGTTCCTCCTCTTTCTGCGCCTCCTTCCTTATCTTCCATCCCTCCCCTGCTGCCTCCTTTCCCCCCCCCCCCTCCCTCCTCCGCAACTCGTTCTCTGCCTCCCGCGGCGCAGTAGCCAGCATGATCTAGAGGCCACTGCCTCACCCAGCTGTTCTGAGCTAGGCCAGGACGCTTGTTCGTAGTGGTGGTCGTTCGTTTGTTCCTGCTGCCTCCTCCCACCCTTCCTCTTTCTTTTTCTCCTCCTGTTTCTCCAGCTCCTCCTCCTCCTCCTCCTCCTCCTCCTCCTTCTCCTCCTCCTCCTCCTCCTCCTCCTCCTCCTCCTCCTCCCCGTCCCTCATAACATAGGAACAAACTGGTGATGGATGTGTGTCAGATCTGTGTCGGTTTAGTGTCAGTCTTCTGGATGCACTTTAGGTCCTCCTGGGGCCTGCTCGGGGCCCTTCTGGGCGCCCCAAGGGTCCTGCTGATGTTTGTGTTTCGATCTCGATTTCCGCTGTCACTCATCCAATCGTCCCAATTATCCTCCTCCTCCTCCTCCTCCTCCTCCTCCTCCTCCTCCTCCTCTTGTATTCCTGTTCCATTTATATATGCATATATAACAAAAAACTCATCCCTGTATCACCCCGAGGCCGATCGAAACGGCGGGCCTGGCGTTTCTCTTGAGACATCCTCACCATCAATGATCCTGAAGCTTCAGAATTGGCAACAGTTTCACAAGTGGAGGGCGGATGGTTTTCAAGATTTGGCTCTCGCCTCAGCGCCGCGCACAGTCGTTGTGAATTGCAAGAGTTTCACGGGTTGAGGGCGGGTCGTTTTCAAAATTAAGCTCGCGCTTCAGCGCCGCGCACACTCGCTCGAAACAGTACAAAGGCTACACGGATTGAGGGCGGGCCGTTTTCAAAATGTGGTTCTCGCCTTAGCGCCGCGCACGTTAGTTTTAAACATGTGCAATAGTTTCACGGATTGAGGGAGGTTCCTTTTGTGGTTCTCGCCTTAGCGCCGCGCGCGTTCGTCTTTATACATGTGCAAGAGCTTCACGTATTGAGGGTGGTTCCTTTTCAACATGTGGCTCTCCCCTCCACGCTGCGCACATTCGTTTTAAGAGGGTGCAAGAGCTTCACGAATTGAGGGCGGCTCATTTTAAATGCGGCTCTCGCACTAGCGCCGCGTGAATTTGCTTTTAAACCGTAAAAAGAGTTTCAACGGATTTCATTGCTAACGTACCAGACATGGTGTTTTGGAGCGGTTCCGGATTGTCAGGGCGTAACATTTGCATTGATTCGCGGTGTTGAAGTCCCGGGAATGGCGTTCTGGTGCGATTCAGGATCGCCAAGGCGTAACAGTCAGGTTATTTCGTGGCGCTGGAATCCTGAGAGTGGTGTTTTGACACGATTCTTGATTTTCACACGGATGTCCCCCAACGGGGCAACGCCTGCAGTGTAAATGAACAGTTGTAGGGGCCTACGACGAGGGAGCTTGGGCTTGCACTGATCCTCCTCCTCATCCTCCTCCTCTTTCTCCCTCCTTCTCTTCCTCCTCGCCATCTCCGCGCGTGCGGGAGGAGGACAAGGAGGATGAGCCGATGTGCCAACGATGCTGCAGTACACCCTCCCCCCCAAGTCGCATTGTCATGCATCCTTACGAGGATTGCTTCCCGCTGCGAGAATGGCCTTCGCGGCCCTGGACCCCATCGTCGGCAGTTCTTCATCCTGGATTGACTTCTGGTGGGGTTGAGGCCTGAAAGCGCCCCCAGGCTGCCAAACAAGAGCGCGCTTTTTTAACATCGAGAAACGACGAGGATCGTCGTCGCCGCCGCCGCCGCCTTCGC